TTGGTGACCTTATATCAGTTTCTCTAACCTTTGCCACCTTTGAAATACGTGGACTCAACCACCCAGATTCCCCCGCCCGGCTTGGTTGGCTGGGGAATTCTGGGAGTTGAAGTCCACGTATCTTAAAGTTGCCAAGGTTGAGAAACATTGGCTTCGAGGAACCCACTGTGCTCATTTGTCATTGTTATTTCTTTGGAAAGATAAGCAAGGAAGTTGTTAAATTCTACTTCAAGCCTGGAGAACACTTGCAAATAGGCTGTGAAAACAATTTTAGCAATGTGTGCATGTTTGTTTATGTTATTCAATGTTACTCAACATTGCTTCTGTTGGTCCTTTAAACGGGACAAACAAGAACATTGAAAATCCTGTTCCACTGGCACTTTGGAGATTTTGGAAGATATTTTCCAGTGATTCCTGAACTTTAGTCATGAGGACTTGAAGTCTGCCTTTAAAGCACTCTAGCACAAGCCATGAACTTTGGATTCTCAAGCGCCTGGACATTTTTCCTCATGCCATTAAGTGTACTAAGACCCTGAGCCAAAAATCAGGAGGAACTTGGTTTGAATCTCACTTTCTTGCTGGTTGATGACCTCAATAAAGTTTGACTGATTGCATCTCACTTTGATGCAGTCATGGCAATGTGGCTCACCTTCATGCATTCAAGACCACGTTCTTTTAGTTCCCCCCACCCCCACAAGTTACCTCTACTGAATGGAGATGTTTAAATTATTCAACTGGACTGTTGACAGAATTACTGGATAATAAATGTAAAACCCTGTGAGCCTTAATATTCCATGGTCTTCTATACTAATAGCTGGCTGATCTTCTGATGTCTGTCACTCACCCAAAAGCAGACTTGGGGGAATTCCAAGGTCAGTGGTAGTACAAAATTGCTTTAGGAAAACAATCTTCGAAGATTGGGGGAAGGGCTCCAAAATCACCTAATGAGGAATGAGCCTGCTTGCTGCCTCTTGAGTGGGTGTCTGGGTGGGTGGGTGGGTGCGAATGAGATGGAATTGGCTGGCTGGCATTTTGAGCAGGAACACCCCATGCTGTGACATTTTGAGGCAGTTCTCATTTGTGCTGCATGTTATGACTTGATGCCAGCATTAAATCTTGCACGGAATTGCTGGGTTTCCAAGTCTCATGACTCATTTTGTCCTTACCCATTAACCCCGCTGCCCATTGTAGAGAGAAGCAGCTCATTTAGCAGCCTGAGTTCTGAGACGGGGGAAGTGGAACAAGAAGAACAACCTGGATCTGACCCAGCCCTCAAGGACGTGGTCCAGGTAGGAAGGCAGCGAAGGCCCCTTGACCCCACTCCAAATGAGGGCCTGAAGAAATGCATGCTCAAGGGAAAAACACGTGTCTTCTTGGGAAAGGGACTTGGGACCTTTAGCTGAAATTCTTGCTTTATTCCAGACAGACTGGGTGATTGCGCATCCTTGAAGGCATTATTCTTGAGGATCTATCTCTTTTAGTGACTGCAGTTTATATGGCCCTCGTATCCAATCAAAGTTCTAAGCAGCTTCCAAAATAATATAAACTTTACAGTTAAAACAGTGGTAAAACAGAAAGCGAAGTATCTTGAGGTACAACAGCATCCAGAGCCTGAGCTATTCCTAGGCTTACTAGAATAGATTTGAATCCAAAAAACCCCAACAGAGTTGAAAATGATGACATCTTTTCATCTGAATCTACACAAATGGCATAAATTAATTGTCCAGACCAGTGTTTCTCCACCTTGGCAATTTGAAGTTGTGTGGACTTCACCTCCCAGAAATCCCCAGCCAGCATGGCTGGCTGGGGAATTCTGGGAGGTGAAGTCCACACATCCTCAAGCTGTCAAGGTGGAGAAACTCTGGTCCAGACTGTGCCTGAGATAATGGACTTTACCTTTTATTCAGAAGTAAAGTCCAAACTAAAATTTTGTCTGTTGTGTCTTCACTCCCTGAATGGGGATCCATAACATTGAAGTTTTACTGTGTAACCCTGAACTGGGAGTTCACATCCAGAAGGACATACTGAAGCTTTGAAGTAGGATCTCCCTTTTGTACGTGTCCTTCTGCAGCTGGAATTTCAGGGATTGATTTTCAGGTTTGGCGATTACCATGTTGCCGGCAGGTTATGAGAACAATTTTTCCTCTTTTCTTCCCCTGATTATTTTGAAACCTTAGAATAACAAAGGCTTGGAAAATGGACAAAGGTCCACTTTGACTTCATTACCATCAAAGGAGAATCCAGTGAGCCCCCAGTCTAAAGGGGTGAATGCTAGTTCCTCTGCCTCCAGTTTGAGTTCATCCACGGTATGTGATTTCACGGCTGGAATCAGAGCATAACGGGGGAAGCTGGGAAGCTAAAAGCTGCATTATACAGGGTTGGGGTGCAAAGCATGGTGCTGGGGTTGTCTGATTTTCCCCCGATTTATGGTTAGAACTTCTTTTCCCTTCCCCCCTTATTTTTATCTTTTATCTTTTTTATATTCTATTGATTGTATTGTAATGTCTTTGACTGTCATGAGCCTCCGAGAATTGTTGAAAGTCGAGCAGCATGCAAGTGTTATAAATTATTATTATATTTGTATTAGACTTAGAGGTATAGTCAGAGGGAAAACAAGAGAAAAATAGACTGGACAAATAGGATATAGAAAGGAGATTTACAAGCATTTTAAAATTAATGGAAACAATTCCTAATGGCATTGATTAGAAATCTGCATTTTTCTGCCGATCCCCTATTAGAGTATGTTATATCAATTGCAAGTTTTAAGTCAATATGAAAATAGATCACTATTAAAATCAGGTTATTTTGCAGCCGTTCACAACTGTAACCAGTATGATTCAAATTCTAAGTTAGAAACTGAAATAAAAAATTATAATTTCTGCCTAATCTAAGGAATTTGGTGAATTTAAAAGATCATAAAGAGTTCAATATTGTAATCTTAATTACTGATCTTAGGAAAACACCAAATTTTGGCTACAGCACAAACCTGTTCACAAGTTTATAGTCGAAAAACGGATTCCACATTGAATTAAATTCTATGTCAGATTTATTTTTTCAAATATGAAATTAGGTTTGATTTCAGTGCATATATTTTGGGGTGAAACCTAAGGGTTGTCTTGGCGTTTAAAAAAATGGGCTAAACCTAGTTTAGGGCTTCCATTTCTCTGTATTTCTTCTCCAAATGGCAGGAAATGGTGTCATCAGTTTTTAACAGTTATGGTCAAAGCAGGTTCCAAGAATTGCAAAAATGGTCCTGGGGTGAAAGCAGTCCTAGAGTTGCAGGCTGCTTCAGCAGAAAATGCCCTTCCCTGATATCCTTCCCTGAATAGTTCTGAATCCTAGAATCCTAGGGTTGGAATGAATGTTGGGGGTTTTCTAGTCCAACCATCTGCCCAGGATGGGTATCTTCAGACCATCCCAGACAAATGCCTGCCTAACCTTTGTCTGAAAAGCTCCAGTGATGGAGCGCTCATAACTCCAGGAGGCAGGCTGTGCCACTGCTTAATAGCTCTCAGCTCAGGACGTTCCTCCTTACTTCAAGTTTGAATCTCTGCATGCAAATCTTCCAGTTGTTGGTTCTTGTCCTACCCTCTGGCACTGCAGAGAATAAATCCACACCCTCTTCCTTGTGGCAGCCCTCTAAGTATTGGAAGACTGCTCTATCATGTTTCCCCTTAGCCTTCTCTTCTTTAAGCTAAACATACCCAGTTTTTTTTTAACCATTCTGCTTAGGATTTAGCCTCCAAGTCCCTCACCATTTTTGTTGCTCTTCTTTGCACTTTTTCTAGCCTCTTTACATGGTATGTCCACCCGTAAGTGGAGGGAATGACTTAGATGCAGGAAAACTTCTCTGGGTCCCCCAGCTTATTTGGAACTTCTCCCTTCCCTTCCCTTCCCTTCCCTTCCCTTCCCTTCCCTTCCCTTCCCTTCCCTTCCCTTCCCTGATGATGAGGGAAACAATTTCAGTAAAGCAATTCTTTGGTTTGGGCTGGGTGTAGCATGGCTATTGAACAGCTTTTGCTTTTTTTTTTTCTTTCAAATTTCCATGAAAGATTTCACACTCTTGAGGACCAAAATTTTGTCCTTGCCCTGTATTGAGATTCTCTCCCTTCCTTCCTTGATTCTTGACTGTTCTTATCTCACTGCAGATGAGTGGGAGTATGATGAGCATGTTCAGTGACAATGACATTGGGAGCATAGATGTCCGTGGTTGCATCCAGTTCTCCCTGCGCTATGACTCCTCCAGGAAGGAACTGCATGTCCAGATCGTTCAATGCCGAGACCTTGCTGAAGCTAAAAAGCAGCGGTCAGACCCGTACGTTTGGGGAAGGGGCTGGCTCTGCAGACCACCAGTTTCCACATCCTTGAACTGTCTGAAGGGCACCTGGGTGTGTGAATCACAATTTCGAGACAACAAGCTTTCAAGGGACTTGTGGCCACCACTAGCATGATGATACCATAATCAAACTTTGGTTTAATGGAGCTTCCTTTAGTAGATTTTTATTAAAGGAAATCTGGATTTGGACATCCCAACAATAATGAATTAAATCTGGATAGTCTGATAGCTTTTGCACTGCTATAAAACTGCAGGGGTTGTTATTTGCATAAATTGAAATCATTTGCATAACCATGTAATATAAATTTACATAATTATATCCTTATGCAAATGATGTCAATTTATACAAATCCTGTGAACTGATTGCTTTTCTGTAAATTTATATAATTCGTGATTGGCCAAAGGCCATAATAAAAATCTGTTTGTACATTATTTGGGACAGGAATGGTGTACATTATAGAAATGTCTCAGATGATGTAAAATCTCATTCCAGTGCATCAAGGTGTCAAATTAGGGCATCACTCTCATAGTGAGTTACACTGACTCTGTAACGTCTTTCTCACCCACCCAGGTATGTCAAAACCTACCTGCTTCCTGACAGATCCAATCACAGCAAGAGGAAAACTGCTGTCAAGAAGAGAAGTCTAGATCCTATTTTTAATGAGTCCCTTAAGGTGAGAGAGAAGAAGCAACTTCTGACATTAGTACCTAGTAATCAAAAGCAAAGTTGTGCAAAATTCACCATTCCAAGGACAGAGCCTTCCAGCATTCTCAAGACGTTCCTTCTTTCTCCTGGAATTGCTAATTCAGCCATTCCCTAGAACACTGATTTGGTAGTTGTTCAGAAGTAAGCTCTCTCTGGCACACCCTAGAACTCAGTTTCTGTCCCAGACAATTTACTTCTAGAAAACTATTGAATCCCTCCTGCTTAGTGTGGTTCTGAAAGGAGAACAGAACATTCCAGGGAACATCAGAAATATTCTCTTAGGAATGGTCAACTTGAAACCCAACTAGTCTAAAGCGTTGTACATAAATGGATGGAGACAGAATGAAGCCGGCGCAGAGGAAGGTGGCATAGAGGTCTGGAATACAAATCCTATGGTAGGGATGAGCGGCCTACGGGGTTCCTTTGTCTCCCAAGTCCTAATTTGCAGTCCTCCTATATTGCCACCAATATTCAGCAATCTCATCCCACAATAAAGGTGAAAATGAGAATGGGAAGACATGGTCTTTCAGATGTTACTGAACAGTGGCTCTACATGAATGTGGGTTGGACCATTGGACTGAACCCCTAAAGTCGTTCATATTTTCTCTTTCCTTTTTCTCCTCTTTTCCCATCAATCTTGATCTGTAGTATAAGATTGAGAAGGCTGAACTCCAGGGCCGGGTCCTGAACCTGTCTGTTTGGCATCATGATACTTTGGGCCGAAACCTTTTCATGGGAGAGGTGGAGATTGCCTTGAATGCCTGGGACTGGAGCGACACAAGTCCAAAGTGGTTCAACCTGCAGCCCAAGGTAAATGACCCTGGTTTGTACCAGATTATGGGAAAATTGTGTGTACTGGTATTAGTTTCCTTCAAACATCTGTAGCATTGCATCCTGTGTAACAACAGAAAAGAAACTCTTGTCTGTGGGTGATGGAGATTAGCTGTATTAGATACCTAATTCTCCATGAAGGTGGGCATTTGCATGATCAAAATTTCCTCCACGTAGAAAATTAGATGCTAGCTTTCTCCTCAATGTTTTAGTTCAGCTTTATAAAGCTAACGGATTTTGTATGGAGAGCAGTTGAATTCTTTGAGTTCTTTCTTGAATTACTTGATAGAATTCAAGAAAGGTCAGGTATAGACCTACTATCTTGATGCCAAGTAAATGCTTTATTTTGCAAACTCTGGAAATATCACTACCCCAAAGTATTTCCGCCTCTTCTTCTGATTAGCTCCACACATTGCTTAGGTCCTGTTTTTTTAACCATGGTTAATTGAATAAATGCTTGGACTCGGTGCTTGGACTCACTCTGCCAGCTATGCCAAAACCCTGGTTTCAGCCAGATTTGTTTGTTTAATAGCACTTCAGTCCCACTGCTGAATCTGAAAAGTTCCCAGAGCTGCTTATAATAAAAACCAACAATGTGCCAGTCCTCAGGTCTAAATCTAAACAAGGCTTAACATGAAAGGAAAAAGGGATGAGGAGGGAAATAAAGTGAGTCAGGCACCACTCCTTTTTTTTTTAAAATAGTTTTTATTAAAAGATTTTACATGTATAATAAGAAATACATTCAAAGAAAAAAATATAGTAAATGTGAAAAAGGAAAAGAAAGGAAGAAGCAAAGAAAAATGGAGATAGAGAAAAGAAAAAGAAAAGAAAAGAACAGAAAACATGAAAATATATATATAAAGAACACCAGAGAAATTATCTAGAACATATAAAGGCATTCCAAATGTATGTTGGAAATGTGAACAACATGAAGGGACATTTTACCATGCTTGGTGGACATGTAAAAAAACTAAAAAAAATTGGATTCAAATACAAACATTGATACAGAGGATTTTAAAAATTAATATTCAATTGAAGCCAGAACTTTTCCTTTTAGGACTGATGGATACACAGTGAGAAAAAAGTCATGGAAAATTATTTCAGTATATTATTACTGCAGCGACATTATTATATACACAAAGATAGAAAGATTTGGCATTACCCACCATGGTGGAATGGTTGGTGAAATTGACAGAACTTGCTGAGATGGCCAAATCGACTTCTTTGATTAGAGAAAGGTCATTATTGACATTCATCAATGACTGTAAACCTCTTATGGGCTTTTTGCATAACAAAGAAAATGATTGTGTGACGTATGGTTTTGATGGTTAGAAAGAATAGGTTATAGAAAGAAGGGAATTATGATGTAATCTTAGAGAGGTTAGATCGGAATTATATGAAAAACTGCCGAG